AAGATAGTTTTGCATCAGTTTAAGCAATAAAAGTAATATTCTCCAAAGTGAATGGAATTTTCTACTTAAGATAGAAATAAAGTTATGATGACAGTATCTTAAAATCATGAGGGATTTTTTTTTTTGAGAGACTAAAGGTGCCCCCCAGTCTCATCTTGTTTTCTGTGATGGAGGATATGGTGTTGGAAGGAAGGGAAGATACCAGAAAGTCTTCAAAACCAGTTGTGGCAAAATAAGCTATAATGTGTGTGGTACATGGAAAACATGAGAGAAAATAGACAAAATTGAATTATAGTTTCAAAATTGAAATATAGCTCTTATTTATTTAACAGTCTTGAGGTACCATGAGGAATATTTGTTTTCAGTAACATGAAGGTATTTTTGTAAAGTTTCATACTAATGCTTTTTATTTCCTTAACTTGCAGATCTGCAGGGTGAGGGGTAAACATCTGGCTCCTTGTCCAAATGCCAAGTGTGTGACCTGTGGTGAGTTACTTGATTCCTCTGACCCTCAGTTTCCTCATCTTGTACAGTGAGATAATATCTACTTTATAGAATTAATAAGAGGATTCAAAAAGATCTTTATATAATAAAAGTAATATGCAAATTGACCACCACTCCAATACACAAAGATGGCTGCCCCCATGTGGACACAAGATGGCTGGCAGGGGCGGGCAGTTGTGGGTGATCAGGCCAGCAGGGGAGGGCAGTTGGGAGGGACCTAGGCCTTCAAGGGAGGGCAGTTAGAGGTGATAGGGCCAGCAGAAAAGGGTAGTTGGGGGAGACCAGGCCTACAGGGGAGGGCAGTTGGGAAGAACCAGACTGGCATAGAAGAGCAGTTGGGGGGGACCAGGCCTATAGGGGAGGGTAGTTGGGGGAGGACCAGGCCCACAGGGGAGGGAAGTTGGGGGGGGGGGGGCGGGGACCAGGCCTACCGGGGTGAGCAGTTGGGGATGACCAGGTTGTCAGGGAGGGCAGTTAGGTCAACCACGCCTGCAGGGGAGGCAGTTGTGAGGGACCAAGCCTGCTGGGGAGGGCAGTTGAGGGTGACCAGGCTGGCAGGGGAGGACAGTTGGAAGGGACCAGGCCTGCAAGGGAGGGCAGTTAGAGGTGACCAGGCCGGCAGAGAAGGGCAGTTGGGGGGAACCAGGTTGGCAGGGGAGGGAAGTTAGGGCAACCAAGTCTGCAGGGGAGAGAAGTTGGAGGGGATCAGACCTGCATAGGAGGCAGTTGGAGGGACCAGGCATTCAGGGGAGGGTAGTTGGGGGCAACCAGGTTGGCAGGGGAGGACAGTTGGGGGCAACCAGGTCCGCAGGGAAGAGCAGTTAGGGGCAATTGGGCCAGCAGGGGAGCAGTTAGACGTCAATCAGGCTGGCAGGGGAGTGGTTAGGGGGTGATCAGGCTGGCAGGCAGAAGCCATTAGGGGCAGCAGGCAGGCAGGCAGGTGAGTGGTTGGGAGCCAGCAGTCCTGGATTGTGAGAGTGATATCCGACTGCCCATTTAGATCCAATTCCAGCAGGATTGGGCCTAAACAGGCAGTCAGACATCCCTCAAGTGGTCCCAGATTGGAGAGGGTGCAGGCTGTGCTAAGGGACACCCCAGACCCCCTGTGCATGAATATGGTGCACCTGGCCTCTAGTAATTTATATAAAGAACTAGAGTTACTAAAGTTGCCTAGAGAGAGATCTTAATAAATCCTTAATGACTTTCTTTTGCTGTGATGTGGTGAAGAGAACTGGGTGAGCCCAGGAGGTAGGAGACCTAGTTTCTAGTCTCTTCTTCGTCCACTTATTTCTCAGAGGACCAAGGTTACTTGGCCATGGAAGGCCCCAGCTGCCATTAAAATAAAGTTTGTAGTGTAAGTTTCTTACTTAAAGGTTAGGTTAAGTAGACACTTAAGGTATCCTTACTAAGGTGATCTCTTTGATGCTATCCCTCTGCCCTTTTTAGACATGTTCTACATTTAGAAATAGAACTTGCTGGTGTCAGGGATATATGTTTTTGTGTGTGAACCAGTAAGTGAACTAGTTTTTTGTTTAAAATATGTTCTTATTGATTTCAGAGAGGAAGGGAGAGGGAGAGAGAATGATGAGAGAATCATTGACTGGCTGCTTCCTGCATGCCCCACACTGGGGATTGAGCTCACAACCGGGGCATGTGGCCTGACTGGGAATTGAAGTGTGACCTCCTGGTTCATAGGTCAGCTCTCAATCACTGAGCCACTCTGGCCGGGCGTGAACTAGTTTTATTCTAAGTCAGGGTAGACACGGAAAAAAGTCTGGCTAACTCTGTTGAGATCTTCAGTTACCCTTCCCATCTCTGGCTAGCTTAGGTCTAGTTACCTATAAGTTGGAATCCTACTTTTGTCTCTTAACTACTTGTTTACATGTTCTTGGGCAAGTGACCTAACCTTGCTAAGCCTTGAGGTTATTGTAAAGGGTAAATTAAGTAATCTGTGTAAAGTTTTTAGCACAGACTTAGATGAACAGTAGGCTTGCAGTAATAATAGATATATTTCTTTATTCAGCAACTATTTATCGAGCTCTTACTATATGTTTCGTAGGCTCTATTCTAGTCTTTAGGGATAGAGAAATGAACAAAAGTGAATGAGAAAAACATGGATGGGAATACCCAGGATAGCAAATGCCAGGTGAAGAACATTGCTAAAACTGGATTTTTAAATTTATGGACGCCATTAGCTACTGGATATGGGGGTTTCTACCAGAGGGTACTTTTAGGTGAAAGTTGTGTTACTGGCTGGTTTCTCTTCGGTGCACTGAACTCTTCTCCTGAAGGATGATTTTCTTGCCTTCTACTGTAGTTTTGGCAAAGTGTTTCAATAACCTAGACCAGATATTCTATTAGAATTAATAATCCATTCGTAGAAATACAGCTTATTTGTGGTTGTCGTTTAGCTACTTCTCTTAGTAAGCAATTTTTATTTGACTGCTTGACGATTCCCTTACTCAGGTGGGAAGGATTTTGAACAATAGTCCTATTTATCTTTTGTCATAAATGGTTTCCATTAGTCAGTTAAAGATGAGGCCATACTTCAGGCTTGCAATTGTCCAAAGCTCTCAGAGTGTAGCTGATCCTCAAGGGCTGATTCATGCTGAACAAATTTATAAGAAGCTGATAGATCCAGAATGTTGAATTAATTATAAGAAGTAGAAATGCCAAGAAGCCTGAGATGCTGTGGTCATCTGGTCACGGTGTTCTTTCTACAGAGTAGGATCTGCCTTGGAAAACAAGTTATTTAATGTTGCTTAATTACTTATGGAATCTAAGCAAGGCAAGTGGCGAGGTGAATTTAATGACTATAGTACTTCAGTTCTGTGCTTGGGCTACATTTTATACAGCAAAGTTATCAGCAAAAAATATAAAAATGTGGAAAATGTGGCAGGCAAAAAGACCACTTTTGAGAGTCAGAACAAGAAGGCTGAGTATTATCTTATTTGACTTCAACTGGAACATGTGCACAGGATGACTGAAATTTTTCATCTCTTTGCACATGTCTGGGAATGATTGCAAAAATGTTCTGAGCACGGATTTTGGGGTTACAAAGCAATTTTAGTGAGCAGGCAAATTCACAAGCATGGGATTGCAAATAATTAAGAACAACTGTACTTAGAGCAAGTGAAGGAGGTGGTGCTGGACATTTTTGTTTAGTATGAATAAAGCTGCTGTGAGCATTGTTTATAGATTTTTAAAAAAATATGTTTTTTATTGACTTCAGAGAGGAAGGAAGAGGGAGAGAGAATCATGGATCGGATGCCTCCCGCAAGTCCCCACTGAGGATCGAGCCCACAATTCAGGCATGTGCCCTTGACTGGAATTTAACCTAGGAACCTTCAGTTCGCAGGCCAACACTCCATCTACTGAGCCAAACCAGCTAGGGCTATAGATTTTTATATTACTGATTTTTAGAGAGGAAGGGAGAGAGACAGATAGACATTGATATGAGAGAAACATGATTGGTTGTCTCCTGAATGTTTTTCAACTGATGATCGACCAAAGCCTGGGAATTGAACCCAATACCTTTTGGAGTATGGAACCACAGTCCAGCCAACTGAGCCACTCCTGGCTACGGCTGTTTATAGATTTTTGTGTAGACAAATAATCATAACCTCTTAATACCATATTTTTAGACACATTATACTTGGCTGGTTAAGGGGATGGCCTCATGGTATGCTGCCTAATCTCATTCGTTATCTCCTAATTCTGGTTGGTTTCCTTCTTAGAGGGTAACTTTATTTTCAGGTTTCCAGGACATCCTGTATTGTATACTGACTATAATTTAGTCATTCTGCAAGTATTTTTGTGGTCTTTGCTCCTGTAGGTGACATAAATCTACTTGGATGGCATTGTAGCCCACTGGATAAGATTATGGACATTGGCTTAAGATTCATAGCCTGGTTCCAGCTCTTTTCGGCTGTGTGACCTTAGGCATGCTTGTTAATCTCTCTGAACCTGGCTTTCTCTGAAAATGAGGCTAAAAATAGTACTTATGGCACAGGGTTGGTGTGAAGGTGAAATTAGATAATGAAATAATATGCTTATTAGTACAATGAATGATGTGTAGTAAGTACTGTGATGTTACTTATATAACTACTAGAGGCCCAGTGCACAAAACATCCCCAGTAGGGAGTGTGCAGGAGACAGCTGATCGATGTTTCTCCCTCATCGATGTTTCTGACTCTCTATCCCTCTCCCTTCCTCTCTGTAAAAAATCAATAAAATATATTTTAAAAAATCTTACTAAAACACAAAAATAGCATTATTATTATTATTATTATTATTATTATTATTATAACATGACTATTTTTTAACACTATTAGTAACTGCTCTTCTGAGATGCAAGGTATATGAAGAATATTAGAGGTTATTTTTAAAAATTGATTACATCTGTTAACTCAATGCGGTTTCCTCTGACCTATTTTCTAAAACCTTTTTTACAAAATGTTTTTCTAGGCTACATGAATCCCTGAAGGATAAGAACAATGTTATGTTGGGGATATTGGTCTCTGGGCCAACCTGGAATCAGCACTAACCTACAAGGCATTGTGGCCGAGCCGCAGGTGTGCGGGTTTATATCGGACAGAAGTGTCAAGGAGGTGGCCTGTGGAGGAAACCACTCCGTGTTCCTGCTGGAGGACGGGGAGGTGTACACCTGCGGCCTGAACACCAAGGGGCAGCTGGGCCATGAGAGGGAAGGGAACAAGCCAGGTGAGTGTGCCTTGTCTGCCGTGATGGCTGGCGAGGAGGGCTGGGAATGGGCGCGTGCTGGTGGGAGATTCTCAGGGAGGCTCTCTGAATGGTGTAGGACCGCGGTCGGCAAACTGCGGCTCTCGAGCCACATGCGGCTCTTTGGCCCCTTCACCCTGTTACCCCGAAAATAAGACAGTGTCTTATATTAATTTTTGCTCCCAAAGATGCGCTAGGTCTTATTTTCAGGGGATGTCTTATTTTTCCATGAAGAAGAATACGGTACACATTTATTGTTAAATGAAAATAAAGGAAATTTATTACCTGTATACGGTACGGTAGTACGGTAGTTGTCAACACAAACAAGACAAACTGTGAATCCTACAGTATCAAGGATTTGCTCATTTATTCAATGACAATCATGTCATCATCTTCTGGAACATCATCATCATAACAATCCAATTCCTGAATTTCCTGGTGAATTTCTTGAGATTCCATTTCTTTCAGAATCACTGGACCAAATCTCTCATGTTTAGCTTAGGGGGGGCCTTATTTTCGGGGGGATGCCTTATATTTCACTCAGAAGGAAACCTGTAAGTAGGTCTTATTTTCGGGGAAACACGATAGTGTGGCTCTTCCACAAAATACCTCGGTCTGGGCGAGTCTATTTTGAAGAAGTGGCATTAGAAGAAGTTTAAGTTTAAAAAATTTGTATCTCAAAGAAATTTCAATCGTCGTACTGTTGATATTTGGCTCTGTTGACTAATGCGTTTGCCGACCACTGGTGTAGGATTTTCTGTATGGAACTTTTGTGTCTAATTCAAGCCTTTTGATGGAAAACCAGACATTTCCTTTCCGTCTTTTTGTTGTTGTTGATGTTAATCCTCACCCGAGGATATTTTTCCATGGATTTTTAGAGAGAGTGGAAGGGAAAAGGGAGAGACAGAGAGAGAAACATCAATGTGAAAAAGATAACATTGATTGGTTGCCTCCCGCATGTGCCCTGACTAGGGCCGGGCATCTAGTTGCAATCGGTATGTGTCCTTGACTGGGATCAAACCCGGGACCCTTTAGTCCGCTGGCTGACACTCTACCCCTGAGCCAAACCAGCTAGGGCTCCTTTTCATCTTATTAGACAACCCATGTTGTTTCAGTTGCCAGGGGAGGGAAGTTGACTAGTTCATTTAGAGTTAGAGAAATAGATTTTTCTCCCATAATTGAATGCTAACACACTGTGATTGTTTTGTGTATAGGTAATCCTCATACAATCAATATCAGAAGCATTTCCCTCTAATTTTTCCTCCAAAGTGCCTATTCCTTTATTTATTTCTGCAACATGTTTTTGTTAAGCAATTTGGGCTAAGCACTATGCTTGGTGTTGTGAGTAGAAAGTGAATGAGAGAGTAATGATTTGGCTCCAGGAAGAATGTGTGAGGTAAGCTGGAGAACATGCTGGGGGGATTAAAGGAGAGGGATTCATTTCGCCTTCGTAGGTCAATCAAATAGGAAGCAGGAGTAGGACTTCAGCAAGTGTGTGTGTGTTTGTTGCACACACCTGGGTGTACCCAGTGATTAACGGCATGGGTATGAGGGTGCAGTCCTTGTTCAGGGAATGTTGAGTAGTTTGGTGAGACAGTTGGTGGAGGGTGAGAGAGGAGAAGTTGGGAAGGTAGAGGGCTGATTAGATTCCTTAAGTTTAAAGGTCTTTCATGTATTGATAACAGGTGCTGTGTGTATTTGAAGTCCATTGATTTAAATTCTTTCTCCTTCTACTTTTTCTGTCTAAAGGATCTAAGTTTGACCTTCAGTGTGTGCTTATATAGCATAGATCTGTCTATAAGGTACTTTCTTAGTCTTGGGTTTCAGCTACATTTAGAGGAGTGATGATACATGAATGAGTCTCCTTTTGGTGAGAAATTGTAAGATAGAGTCTTAAATTATGACCATGCTATATTTTTCATATTAGCATGGCATGTGTCATTTTCTTTGTTACTTGCTGATTTTTTTTATTTACTCCAAATCAAATGAAGATATTGAAACTTCACTAAAGGACAGTCTTACTGTATTTTTTTTTTCTAGATGATTTTACTCTTTTATGTTTATTTTGGCAAGTCATTTTGGTGTCAGGATGAGCTAATTTTTTCTGTGACACTGGCTCCCCCTTCTCTCATATTTATTTCCTCCCATAACAAGTGGCTACATTCTGCAGTTGCCCTGCCCAAATGTCAGTGTTAACATTTCATCCGTTTCATGCTGCCCACTGGATAAAGGGCCGCTGGGCTGCCCTTGGGTAGAATCATTAAGTATGTGAAGTATGATTTACGGGCTTTCTCCCCCTCCCCCCATTTTTGCCTCTCGGTTCCCTCTTGGGAACCCTCCCTGCCATGCACTACCAGGCCTGCTCACCTGCAGCAGCACCCAGTGTCCTAAACAGTGGTTTCTGGACTTGTGGCCCTTGGGCTTTTGGGATTTCCAGGAAGTGATTTGTAGCGTGGTCCATATGTAGAATTTTATATATACAGTGCACCTGATACTACAGTTTTTCAAATGTGAGTACATCTTGTTTTTAACTGAAATAAAATTCAGTTAACAGTGTCACCAATTCATAAATGGAGTTAGTAATTCCTATTCATTCTGTTTTACCAATTAATATAATACCGAACTGTAACGTAGAATTATTGTGGAGGAGGCAGGGAGGTTTTTTACTTTTAAAAATGTTTTTCATATTAGAAGGGAGTAAATGCCAAGGCCATCTTCTCTCTCCTGTTAAAACTCTCCAGTGTCTTACCGTAATCTCCTACTAGGTGAGAGTCAGGGTCTTAACAGCTCATGCTTACAGAGAGGTCAGTGGCAGGACACAGCCCAACATCATGCTCCTTCTTTTGAGAATATCTACATCCCCTCATGGTTTAGAGATCCTTTCAGCCCATTTCACATCAGCCACCCCTGAAGGACTTGTGTTCACCCTGACCAGCCTTTGAAGGGAGTGTTTTGGGGACCGGAAGGAGATCTTTCCATTACTCCTATAGAGACAACATGGTGAGGGTGAATTCTGGAGTCAGACAGACCTGGTGAAGGCATTACATGTTCTGATTCTGTATTTTAGAGCCTCAATTCCCTTTCCTATAAAAAGGGGAGACTGGGTTCTAGTGTAGCTCTTCAAGTAGTTTCACATGATAAAAGAAGATCCACAAAGCTAACTGGCCTGTGAAGTCTGCCCTCCTGCCTGTTTTCTCTGTGACCGTGCCTCCTGTCGGGCCGCGTCCCAGCAGAGCTGGTCGCTCAGGATGTCTTATGGCACATCTTTGCCTTAGAGCCTGTGGTGAGAAGGTTCAGCTTGGGATGGCAGGTGAGAAAGGACACACAATCCTGGTAACCCCGCAATGGCAAAGATCTGTGGAAGGCCTTGTGGAGAATACATCTGAGTGCAACGTGGCGTTCTGCCAGAGGAGCCTCCTGCCACCTGCTTCATGGAGCGAGGGGTGGGTGGTTCGTGGGCCTCCGGGAGTGAGGAGCAGCCACTTTGCTTCTGCCCCTATGTTGGGTCAGGCCAGTTCTCTCTGCAGTGAAGGCTGAGTGATTGCAAGAGACTTGAGAAAGAGGTATGACAAGAAGGCTTTTGGATTTGACCAAAGAATTCAGCCAATATTTATAATATAAATTTCAAATAAACAAGTTTCTAGTGTACATTACAATAGATCCCAGAAATTTCTGTCGTTGGCAAAGTTTGCCTGTTAATTATAAACTCCACAGCAGCTTCAGAATAGTTCCTCTTTGAATGGAAAGATGATGTGGGTGAGCACTTCCCCCCTGCTCTTTTTTTTTTTTTTTAATATATTTTTATTGATTTCAGAGGGGAAGGGAGAGGGAGAGAGAGTGAAACAGCAATGATGAGAGAGAATCATTGAGTGGCTACCTCCTGCATGTCCCCCACTGGGGATCGAGCCCACAACCCATCCATGTGGCCTTGACCGGAATTGAACCCAGCTAATAGAACCTTCAGTCTACAGGCCGACACTCTATCCACAGAGCCAAACTGGTTAGGGCCTTCTCTTCTAACTTTTTCATTGGTAGGTATGTTCTAAATCTGGGTACCATTTGGGTTTATTTTTAATGAGTGGGAAAAGAGAAAGCTTGTGTTCTATATGTGCTTATTGAGAAGTGTGACCTGGAAAGCTGCTAGGCGTGAAGGTGGTGACAGACAGAGACCCTGTTTCAGGTAGCCTGCGCTGGCCCTGGCCCACAGAAATGCTGCCCCCAGGTAACCACTGTGGTGTTTGGGGAGGGAACTTGGTAGAAGGCCACCTCCGAAGAGGGCATGTTTCTGGGGATAGTGGGCAAGTCTGAGATTTCAAGTTGACATCATCGCCCAGACTGAAGCACTCTGCAGTATGAAGGATTAAAAAGAGTGAGGGGAAGGAAAGTGATGATATAGGCAATGTACCAGGACGGAATTCTTCTGTTTGAACATGTGTCTTGACTCAGTCCTGCCAACTGTCACGTATGAGTTTATACTTATATTTTAATTTTTAATATATTTTTATTGATTTCAGAGAGGAAGGGAGGAGATAAAAACATCAATGATGAGAGAGAATCATTGGTAAGCTGTCTCTTACATGCCCCCTACTGGGGATTGAGCCTGCAACCTAGGCTTGTGCCCTTGACTGGAATTGAACTTGGTACCTGAATAGTCTGCAGGCTGATGCTCTATCCACTAAGCAAAACCAGCTAGGGCTATACCGACATTTTATACGTGTGTTTAACTGGCACAGTTGCAAGGTACACAAATTCGTTTTTTGGAGGCATCCTGTACCTGTGACAGAGCAGTGATACAAAGCACTCCACAGTGCTTGTATGGTTGTCTTCTTTTTTTTCTCCTTGAAAACATGTAATAGTTCCCAATTGCTTTTATTGCTCCGAAGGCAGCTATGCTTTCCTTGTACTCTCATTTCTCTCCTCAGTACTGCCCCTAGGTGACCAGCTTCCCTGTGTGGAGGAGAGAAGGCGTTTTAAGGGCACGT